GCGGATAGTCCTGTGTTTGATCGACTAGTCGGCGCACTGCAAGCAGCAGCACCTATATTGCAGTGGGGAAATGCGCCTATCCGGGCCACCAAGGGCCATGACAATGAAGCAACCATCCCGAGCCATGGTGGTGTCCAACGTGGTCTGATCGGCATGCTGCCACAGCGACTATCTCATCAATCAGTAGTCACCACCATACTTGCGAGCTTACGCCAACAGAATTCATAAGCTTTATCTTCAGTCAAGTGTCACAGAGGCTCGCACAACTCAGCTAGGGCAGCACTGATGGATTAGTGGATTGACGCAGAGTCGCCAGGCCTCCGCCTGAGAGTAACATCGCAGCCGCATGGCTCGACGTTGACACGGAGCGATCCTGCGGTCAGAGACATTGGGAGCGACAGAAGGGTATCGCAATCAACCATGGAGGGCAGTAAAAAACGCAAGTGGTCGATTATGTGTCTCTGCCGTCCCTGACAGTGGAGGAGCACCCACCCGTTCCCGCGTTCTTGGAGGATGGCCCGCTGTACCGTCTGTGCAGAGGGGTCATCGGTGGCCGCAACCTCTCTCTCGCGGTATGCCCAAACCACGTCCGTTCTCAGCACAGGCAGAAGCGATTCCACGATCGAGCTGACAGTCCTACGCGGCTTCGAGTCTAAAATGCACTGTGTGCAGGGCTGAAAGGCCTCAGAGCCCAAACTCTAAACCCTAAACTCTAAACCGGAAATCCAGATTCTAAGCCTCGAAAACTGCTTGCAATCGCAGTCCTGCAGGGATGTGGCTTCGACCCGGGCATCTACGACCTCATCCTTGGCTCGCAGAAGGCGCCTCGGCGCAATGGCCGCCGCCGGTAGCCGTTTAGCGCCGCCGCCGGTCTCACCGCCTAGCCGTCTGTGGCGCTTCCGCCGGAAAAGTGGCCTGGGAATTGGCAATGTGTGCAGAAAACCTAATTTTGTATACTAAAAGCCGCCTCAAAGATCAGAGCACCGCCTGCAGTCGCTGCCGATCGCAGCGGCCGTCCGCCGCTGGTAGCAGTTGTATGTCGCCAGTCTCGCCGCCGCAGCCGTCTGTTGCGCCACCGCCGGTTGAGTGACCTTGGATAAAGATTTCTGCACAGATTGCCAAATCTCACCGCAGGTGGTGCTTCGGGCACTGCCATCCTCATCTTTAAGGCGGCTTTAGAATCTAAAATTAGATTTTTGCACAGATTGCCAAATTTGGGATTCTGAAGCTAAGATCAGAGGATGGCAGTGCGGAAGCGCCTCGGCCGACGGCTACCAGTTGAAGGTCGTCTAATGCGGACTTGTGGAGTAGCGCTATCTTTACGTCCGTGTTAGAGGCGGCGACTGAACCAGCGCCCGGAGAACGTCGAAGTGCTGCAGGAGTAGCTGCTGCGCCTCCTGCGAGCTCGACCACTCGTGCCATCAACCAGAACCTTCAGCGGCCTGTGTAAGATCGTCAGCGTCTGTAGTCGCCGTAAAAGCACTTTCGCTTGTGAGTGTTGCTTCGGGAACGGTTTCAAGGTTTGGTTGGAATCTTGATGATCCCAAGGTTTGATATGAACCTTCCGGGTACATTTGAGAATCTTCGATCTCAAAGTGTACCTTTGTTGCTGTTGAGGACTTCTTGATGGATCCTCAGTGGTTTGTTTATATCCCACAAGATTTACTTCGTAAATCTCTGTGTGGTTAGAGCCCAATACGCTATAATTCGTTTGTTTGAATTCGTTTCCACACTTACGTGTGAAGTCTAACGCACTCCGTGAACTTTGGCTCAAGCCGAGTGAAAAAGACTTGCAGCTGTCCGCTGTGCCCGTAGAGACGTGTCTCCGAGGGAAAAGGTTTTCACGTGGTAGCGGAACTTGTGCCTTGGAAGACAAGTCCGTTTTGGTGTCCAGAGGAACAGAACGCTGTGTGTTTGTGAAGGAGGATGTTGAATACACTTCAAGGGAGTTCTAACTTGCGAAGTCGGGAGGATAGAACTCGTGGGTCTTCGGTACCTGCAGCTGTGGGAGTGGACCGTTAAGGACGGGAAGAGATAGAAGTCCACCCGCTCCGTTGGTGTATGGTCCGGTTCCGCGGGGTAGGAACCCGGCTTCTAGAAGCCCGCCGGATGACCCAACACGACCTAGCTTTGTTCCGTTTGGACAGCCGAGTGTGCCTCTCAGGACACCAGTAGTTCCACCTTTGCCTGCTGCTGCCAGTAGCAGTGTGTTGCCACCACCTCCTGCGGCTGCGTTTCCGAGTGCCCAGTTGGGAGCACAGGTCCAAGGTTTGGAGCAAATGATGCAACAGATGGTGCTGCAACAGCAGACCTTTATGCAGACGGTGACTGCTTCGTTTCAGCAGCAACAGCAGTCGATGCTGCAGCAGTCACAGACGTTTATGCAGACCATGGAAACATCTATGCAGCAGCAACTGCAACAGTTGAGGCAGCAAGTTGCGAGTTCAGCGCCTGTACCACCTACAGCGCCTGGATCTCCGGTTTTGGAGTCCTATCGGATAAGTACTCCGAGTCCGGGTAGGTCTCCGCCACCCCCACCACCAAGAGATGTTCAGGATGCGGAGAGAGATGTCTTCGCTAAATCCGACAAATGGCTGCCTAGTTTGCCTGTCATTGACTTTACGTCATGGAAGGATAGGATCTCCGAAGCTTTAGGCTTCCTCACCTGGATGGAGAAGCTGACCAGTTGGGTCGGTTTGGGTTCTGAGGTGTTCCCAAACGAGCTCATGCATGCTGTTCGAACAAAGGATGAAGGTGTCCTTGGTCAGGATAGGTTGACTGTTGAGCAGCAGAAGAGATCAATTAGGTTGTTGCACATTCTGCGGCAGACCTTTGCAGGCCATGATAAGAGTTCTTTGATTCTGCAGAACTATGTGGAAGGAGCGGCTTCGTATCAGCAATCGGGATTCGTGGCTCTGAGATTATTGGCGAAGGAGTTTTGCCTGAAATCTCGGTCTGAGTGTCTCTACTTCAGAGCACAGTTGGTCAATCAGACGGTGAAAGCGCCAACTATCCCAGAAATTGTGAGAAAGATTGAATCTGAGCAACATAAGTATTCGAAGCTGTTGAGCAGTTTGGATTCGGATGTGCATGCGCAAGGACTCGATTTGCAAGAAGCAGATTTGGTCATGGTGTTGCTTAGAAGTTTGCCCGAGAGGTGTCGAAGCTACTGCTTGCTTCATGGTGATAGTGATTCGTTTGAGGATCTCAAGCGGGTTGCTTTGAAGTATGAGGTGCAACAGCGAGTTTGGTCTGAAGGACCTGGTACAAAGCTGAATCCGTTCAAAGGTGATGAGAAAGGAAAAGGTGGTGACGAAAAGGGAACTCCTAAAGGAAAAGGTGGCAAGAAAGGAAAAAGAGGCCGGAGCCAGAGTGCGTCCAGGGGTGGAGCTAAAGGAAACAAGGATGTGGAGTGTTGGAACTGTGGAAAGAAGGGACATTATTCCGCAGATTGCTGGGCTCCACCAAAGAAGGATCAAGGCAAAGAGAATGCAAAGAATGATGGAAAGCCCTCGCCGAAAGGTAAGGCAAAGGCAAAGGCCAAGGGTGGAAAAGATAAAGGCAAAGGAAAAGGCAAGACAGTTGCTGAAGTGGCGCCTGACGAAGGCGAAGGTGTTGATCTTGCTGGAGATCAAGGATGGACTGAGCCAGAGTCTGAGGCTCATGTGAGCTCGGTGATGCGGCAACTCAACGAGATCGTTGACGAGGTTCGACGGGATTGGATTCCGCCGGCCCAGGATGAGTTTGTTATGACCCGAGAGGCAAGTGTCAAAGTTCGGATGGCCGAATTGGAGCATAGGATCGCGAGTGATCTCGGTGAGATGCTGGGGAAGGATCTGCCAGGATCGGTGAACTTACTGAGAGGACCTCAGGTGAATGGAGTGAGTAGCCTGAACAACGATCAAATGGCCAACTGGTGGCTCATTGATTCTGGTGCTTCGGTGACAGTGATTGCCAAGAAGTTTCTCGATGACTTCACGGTGATGTCGAGGATGCCTTTGTGCCCAAGCGAGAGGTATTCAGCGGCAAATGAACGCCTGTCACGGTGTTTGAAAGGGTGAGAGTGAAAGTAAAAATGCCTCTGTATGAAGGGGATTCGTATATTGGAATGGTCCCTGTGATGGTGACTGGAGTTGTAGCTGACGTTGGTCACAACATCTTGAGCACTGAGCACATGGTTGCTACCGGCTGGGAAGTGAAGTTTTCGAAGGCGGAGATTTCGCTTCGTCGGGTGAAAGGAGGATTGGTTGGATATGGACAGTCCTGGGCTGGATGCCCATGGATTTATCTGCAAGGTGCAGACACGTCAACCAAGAAAGTGACCTTTGGAAGGACACATGTTAAGATGGATGTCGACCAAGAGGATTCGTCAAGTCCCATGGAAGTTGGGAACGTGTCGGCTATGACGGTGAAGATGAAAGAGGAACTCGAAGTTCATCGGATGCGAGGACATATCCCTTTCATGCCTGGGTGTCCCCATTGTCAAAAGACAAGAGGTGTGACGCAACATCGGAGAGGCAAAGATGTGAGTAATCGCCCTGTGGAGCTGCAAGCAGACTTTTGTTACATCAACTTGGTTATATACTGGTACCTTTGTCAAGGACCAGCCCAACGCACCCAACATGAAGATTTTGGTGATGACTGAGATGTCTACCAGAATGGTTGGTTGTGCACTTGTCGGGACAAGTGCGGATCACACATCGACTTGGATTCGGTACTGGATGAATGCTTTTGGGTTGACTACTGCCGGATCTGCGGTGTTACTTCGGACTGATAGTGAAACAGCTGTCAGCGCGTTGATTCGCCGGGCGAATCTTGGGATTCGGGTTGTGACTCAGAAAGCGCCACCGCAAGGACATGAATCTGTTGGTGGAGTTGAAAGAGCAGTTCGGACTTTGAAAGAGCTGTTCAGCACGATCAGGCTTGACCTGAGAGCCCAAGGGTATGATCTGAAGCGCAGTCCACGTGCGTTTGAACTAGGTTTGGTCTACTGTGCTGCCATGCACAATCATCATTCGGCTGCGTTTGATGGAAAGAAGTCTCCTCAGGAGTTGGTTTTGCAGAGACCACTGGCGGAGTGTGCATCCACGTTGATCGGGATGACGGTACTTGCGGAATTACCGGATAGTATGAAGAAGACTTCTTTGTCGAGATTCGTGGAAGCAGCTTACTTGTATCCAGAAGTTGGTGGCTTGACCCATGTGGTGAGTTCTATGGTGAATGGGACGCCACATCACTATCGGGCGAAGTCGATAAAGCATATCACTCCTCTGAAGGTTGGAATGGAGCATTGTGGACATTTGCTCAAGGCCTATGATCCTAGCGATACATTGGCACCTCCCATCTTGAAAGAGTTGGATGATGGGATACCTTCTGAAGTTGAGGGTGAAGTCGACAAAGCATTTGAAGGAAAGGTGTCACAAGGACCTACCACAGACATGAGTCAGGTAGGACCACCTGCGGCATGGGTACGAGAGCATGGAGGAACACCTGGATGTCCAGCGTGTGGTGAGAAGCGTGGAAAAGCCAATCACAATGCTGCCTGCAAACGGAGGTATGATAAGTGGTTGAAGGACCAACGTGAGAGGTTGGTTGTTGAAGGGGAACAAAAGACGGTTGGAGGTGAACCTGGATCTAGATCAGGATCGACCGCGGCTCCGAAGGTTTCTTCAGAAGCGAGAAGCTCTGAGGATGCGGGGGTGCCTCTTGTCAGTGCACCTTCGTTGAAGCGTCCAAAGACCAGTCATGAGACTACCGGCCTGGAAGGCGAAGAGCCCTCAGCGGCGTCCAAGCCAGATGTGATTGATGTGGAGATGTTTGAGGATCCAAGTATTCCTTATGAAAACATTCCAGATGAGGAGATGCCTCCGGGATACTTTGAAGATGAACAGCCTATGGAGATTGATAAGGGAGTAGCTGAAGAGGCTGCGGCAATGAACGTCGAGTCTGAAAGCTCCCCAAGCGAGCCTAGTAGGGTTCCAAGGCTGTTGCAGTCGCTTCATCCAAGATTGGATGCCCCAGAAGGTTTTACCAGTGCTTTTGAGGAAGCAAGTGCGCCGAAGTTAGCCAAAGTGGTGAATGCTGTTCTGATTGAAAAGAACACTGTGTATCCCGAGCAAGTACAGATGTGTGGATCGAAAGTTTGGTTGACCAAGATGAAGAGTGCGTTGTCTGAGCTGGATGGGTGTCCATTGGACGTATCGTCAGCTATGGAGGGTCGACGTACTGAACTTGGTAGCATGGATTCACATAAGGCGGGAAGGATTGTGTCTGCTGATGAGGCACATGCGTTTGCCAAGAAGCATGGGATAAGGATCATCCCTACACGATGGGTACTTGGACCCAAGGTTGTGAACGGGAAAGAGGCAGTGCGCGCCCGGTGTGTGGTACAAGATGTGGCTAAGGGTAGTACGGCTTCATCGCTAGGTCTGAGTGCGACCACGCCGTCGTTGGAAGCTTTGCGAACTCTCTTGGCCATTGCTGCCAAAGATTCGATGGATATTGCTACCCTGGATGTCTCGACTGCATTCAGTGATTATGTTGCCGCGGGATGTGAGTTCAAGACCTGACTATTACGCCCCGGTGTATATGATTCTTGATCAGGCGATGAACGGATTGAGAGTAGCCGCCAAGGCATGGAACTTGAAGTTGGCGAATGTTGTGAAGAAGGTTGGGTTGAACCAGTGCCCTACGGAACCTTCGGTGTTTGAAGGAACTGTAAAAGGAAAACGGTTTCTTATGCTGTGCTATGTGGATGACCTGATCTTGTGTGGAAGCTCAGAAGCCATTAAGTTGGTCACGGATACTTTGAATCGTGAGCTCAAGATCAAGGAAACGGGTCGCATCACTCCGACTGGAGGAAGAATTGTCTTCTTGGGAAGAGAGATTGAGAGGAATGGTGAGCATCTACGGATGAGAGTTCCACCGAAGTACATGGAAAGTTTGTTTGAGACAGATTTTTGCAAGGACCTGAAGGTGGTGAGTAGTCCTCCGGATCTTGTGAAGATCATTGAGAAGGGTCGCGCTGATCCTGAAAAGGATAGCGTGTTGTCGGAGGCTGCTGCGATGCGCTATCGAGCGGTTCTTGGAAGGATTGCTTGGTGGGGCCAGTCTCGTCCAGACTTGGCTCGTTGGATGTCGATTCTTTCCCAAGGTCAGTCGAAGCCTACGGCGTGTTTTGAGCATGCTTTGAGGCAAGTGATTCGTTTCTTGAAAGGCCAGTATCTGTGTTGGTCTTACTTTGGTCCTGGGGGTGAGGTCCCAGACGGAGGATCTGCCACGCTTGATGTGTATGCGGATGCGAGTTGGGCACCGCAAGCGTCTCTGGGAAGGAGATCAGTGTCAGGAATCGCCATCCTTTACCGTGGTTGTTTGATCAAAGGAATCTCGAGGGTTCAAGGGTGTGTATCCCTTAGCTCTTGTGAGGCTGAACTTAGAGCGATTTTAACCGCTGTTCAGGAAAGTGAAGGACTGGCAACGCTGATTGGACAATTGGCTGGGTCCAAAGTCGAGATTAGGTTGCATACTGATAGTTCGTCGGCACGGGCTGTGTTGCTGAATCGGGGTTTGAGTCGACGAGTTCGACACTTGGACATTGCTGTATGTTATCTTCAAGAGAGGATCCAAGAGGCACAAACCCTCAAGGTCCTTTGGTGTCCTACGTCAGCTATGGTGGCTGATATCATGACGAAGTGTTTGAGTTGGGAGATTTTCTTGAGACACCAACAAGCTTTAGGGATTTTTGAAGATGAAAATGTGCAGCAAGTTTGGAGGATTTGCGGAATTCGGTTCTCTCGCAGCGACTCTGGTTCAAGCGCCACGCAAGCTAGCACATCTGTGGAAGTCGTACCTTTGTTGAAGGACGACATGACGGATTCAAAGGCGGATACCCTGAAGGGATCCGTGGAGGCACCATACTGGTGCAAGCAATGCAAATGGCTGTTTAAGACAGACCATTCCCATGGACTGGGATGGACGGATGAGTACAAGCCCAGGTGTGAGAAGTGCCAGGGCGTGATAAGTGTTTGGGGATCCAATGCCTCCCACGCCTTTCATCTCCGAGAGGGAGAGAAAGAGAAGCGGTTTCCGAAAGGCGGCAAAGGGGAAGGCAAGTCCTCCCAGTGGGTGCAAGGCGATGGTGGAAAAGGTGATGGCACCAATCTGGGTGAAAGCTCGATGGCGAAAGCTACGCCAAAGCCTGAAGGGCCACCGAGTGTGGCAACTATGTTTCCAGAGCTTAATGGGAGTGAGGTGCCAGCATGGTACACTGAGCTCTGGGGGAAGATGGGCATCCGAGGAGCCCCTCTTGACCAGGTGGATCTCCAACCTTTGGTGGAATCCTTGCCGGCTGAGGATCAGGAGTGGTATAAGAAGAGCTTTGAGAAGCTCAGCCACCCGAACTTTGCTGTGTTTGAGCATGGGGATCCGATGCCGGGCAAAGTGGTGACAGTCCTGGATATGAGATCGCAGTATGGTGGCAAGTCTGTCATCTGGGAGACAACTGTGAATGGAGGTTGCATCTACGTTGAAATGGGCCCGGGGTTGAGTGGTTTGGCAGTGCTCATGTTTGTGCAGTACCTGAAGAGGAAGGGGTTCTTGGTGCTTATCCTTTTGAGTGGGGATCAGGACCCAGGGATCTTGCGGATGATGGATCTGCTTTACACACTTCCCATCCTGGGAGTGGAGAGATGCACAAAGGGTGATCTGGAGACCACCTCCCATCCTCCCTGGGTGTGCCGATGGAAAGAGCATGCTCAGAATGGCAACGTGGTGTTCAAGGCTGTGCTTTCCAAGGTGTGTTGGATGTCTGATTTGACATGCCAGACACTCAAGGCTTTCGACTCTAAGGTGAAGGACCTCGGGAAGCCGTTGCCTCTGTGGGCCTACTTTGCGTACACCAACAATGATGTGGTGCAGGAAAGTTTGATTGTGGAATGCGATCACATGGCTGTGAAGGTTCCCAATGGGGTGCTTGAGAGCATCCGTGAGCCTATGATCTGGCAGTGTGACTGCGCGTGGCATATGGCCACGGACTACACAAGCAGGTTCACTACGAACCTCCCGTGCATCCTGTGGGAGCACATCTGGAAGTTTTTGGGTGGGAACACTCAGAAGCTGATGGATGTTGAGCTCGGTTTGGAACAGGCTGTGTTAGCAGCCGTGGCTTTGCATGACCTCGAGGTGGAAACTGAGAACAAGAGGAAGAGGCGTGCGGAGTTGGATGCAGCTGAGGAGGAAGCGGCTAAGAAGGCCAGAACGGAGCAACCAGCTCCAAACTCACCTGCACCTCCGGTGCTTGATGGAGCTATGATCGCGCAGATCGCTGCAATGGTAACAGCGAGTCTGAGTGTTGGTGACTTGGAGAAGCTGCTGGATGAGAAGAGAAGGGCATCTGCTTCTGGCAGTGCTCAGGGATCTGAGCATAGCGGTGCTCAGCAGGACCAGCAGATGGGCCAACGGGTTGCTGAGTTGGATCAGATGAGGGATGCGGCACAGGAGCGCCGATCCCAGCTGGTTGAGAAAGCCTCTGAGAAGGCTGATGAGGCGAAGGATGCAGCTGATCTGAAGTGAGGTGCAAATGGACCTCGGTTGGATGTAGCTGCCTGTAGGGTAGAAGCGCCATGGCCTTCGCCGCCATGGCCACGCCTCTTTGTTTCGCGAGCCCTTTTTGCAATCAGTGCATGTGTTTTCTGGAGCAGTCGCTACGCGACAAGTTTTCTGCAGAAGCTACTTTACTCCACTGGTGACTTTGGTGAAGAGTGGAAGCTGCTCGGACAGTTCTCAGAGTCCACTTCGGACTACGTTTGGGAGTCAGGACGCTGGGCGCTTTTCTGCAAGGGCCTGACACAGTGAGCTGGAGAGGTCGTCTTGAAGAGGAACTGAGCGTTTCTGAACGGCCTTAGCTCTTTAATTAGTTTGGTACGTGTTTGTCACTACGAACTCTTGGTCCCTTTGTAGGTCCGAGACCCTCCTGTACGAACGGTGCAGGTGTGCAAGAATCTTCGATCAAAGATCGCCTCTGTGTGTCTGTGTTGTTGTGAGCGGCGAGTACGCACCAAGGGAATGTGGCCTGGGCATCCCCCTAGTGCTGAAGTGCCACTGCCGGTGCTTTGTCGTTTCTGCAAAGATCTTTGAGGAAGCCCTCAGCAAAATGCGGGGGGTGTAAGATCGTCAGCGTCTGTAGTCGCTTGTAAAAGCACTTTCGCTTGTGAGTGTTTTGCTTCGGGAACGGTTTCAAGGTTTGGTTGGGAATCTTGATGATCCCAAGGTTTGATATGAAACCTTCCGGGTACATTTGAGAATCTTCGATCTCAAAGTGTACCTTAGTTGCTGTTGAGGACTCCTTGATGGATCCTCAGTGGTATGTTTATATCCCACAAGATTTACTTCGTAAATCTCTGTGTGGTTAGAGCCCAATACGCTATAATTCGTTTGTTTGAATTCGTTTCCACACTTACGTGTGAAGTCTAACGCACTCCGTGAACTTTGGCTCAAGCCGAGTGAAAAAGACTTGCAGCTGTCCGCTGTGCCCGTAGGGACGTGTCTCCGAGGGAAAAGGTCTAGGAGGGACCTTAAGTTTTTCACGCGGCCAGCCGCAGAGCTGCAGACGCTCTGCCTCAGTGCGGCAGAAGACGTCCCTGGAGTGCGACCATTGGAGTCTCGGTTCTGCCGACAGGTCTTCGAAGACGTCCTATCCCAGCGGCTGCCGCCCTTGGTGTGCAAGCTGGCCAAGAGCGACTCTGACAAGATCTACGCGTGGACGTCGTAAGGCCAACGTCCCGGTCTATTATCCGCTGGACTCCATCAAGCGGACCCGTGAGAGCGAGCTGGTCGATCTGACCCACTTGCGGATCGGCGCGGACGCTCGCTCGGCGCTGCTTTCGAGGCTTCCCCACTGGCTCGGGCTGGTACGCGAAGCCGGCGGTCGCCCACATGCTGGAGACGGAACAGACCGCCTGGGCGGACCTGAAATCCACGGCGCACGCACGTGCAGCAAGACTACCTGAGGAGGCCTGGTCCGAGGGCAAGCTCTCCGTGAACGCTTTCATCGGACTCTTCGCCCGCAACCAGGACATCGTCTACTCCATGCGCACCTCGAACTAGCCCTTTCGTATAGTACCGCTGAAACTTCCTGGACGCCGACGGGTGCTTCTACTGGGACTTCGTCCACGCCACGGACTCCACACCAACCGCTTCCTCCGCCCCGCTTGCGACTTCGTCATAGCTGCGAAGTGCGTGGCCGTGGCAAGGATTGGCAGGCGCTGCACGAGGTGCCAGCGCGGCAGAACCCAATTCAGAACCCATTCAGAACCCAATTTAGAACCCATTTCGGCACCCATTTGGACACCCATTTGGGCACCCATTTCGGCATCCATTTTCGGCACTTCAGCACCCCGCGCGCAAAGTCTCTACAGCACTGCCGCAGCTCCACATAGGGGAACCTGTTGGAGAACCTGTTGAGAAACTCCGCGCAGCTCGAGCGAAGTCTCGCTCCGCGCTGGTGGTCCGACGTAGAGGTGCTTCACTGAGAGCCACATCCGCCCCCGAAGCGTCAAGAGCCGCGTGTGCCGGCGCGAAAGTCTGGCCGTCGCTGAGCACGATGCGCTCGCCCACCTCCGACACCCTCACGAAGTAGCCCTTGGCCACCTTGCCTCCCGAGCCGACGAGTCTCAGCGAGCCAGATCCGCATCGTTCGTCCCCGCCGCGCCCACGCAGCGGTGCTCGATGAGCAGAGTCTCTAGCGGCGCCAGCCTCCTGTTCTCCCGCTCGTTGATGGCGATGCGCTGGGCGTGCGAGATGACTCGACAGGTTTTCGGCGCGTCTCGCCGGAGGAACTGCTCGCATGCCACCCGCAGAGCGTCCCGCAGGTGCGATCTCGTCCGCGCAGACACTGCAGAAAGCGGAGGATGAAGTCGTCGCTGCGCTGGTTCTCCATGATCATACACGAAGCTGCCAGCCAGGTTGTGCAGCATCTGCGAGTTCTTCAGCTCCTGCAGCACCGAGGCGCCCCCTTAAAAGCGTTCTGCACGGCCGGCAGCTGCCTGAAGTCGCCCAGCAGCAGGAAGCGCACTTGCCGGTTCGTCGACAGCTCTGCTACGTCTGCCAGCTCGGTATCTCCTCGATAGTAGTCGGCCGTCTGAGCTTCCAGGTCCATGTTCTGCACTGAGCAGTGCGTCTTACTGACGATGGTGACTACGTCTCCGAGCTCGCAGAGCTGCCCGAGGATGCAGCGGGCCAGATGGATCTTTCTGGAACAAGGAGGAGATCCTGGCGCGGCAGCAGCACGCTTGCGCTCTGTACGGTCGAAACGATACACCGGCGTGCCGTCGGAGTGCTTCTCCCTCTCGAGGCGCTGCACCTTGGGCAGAAACTTCCTCGACAGGCTCTAAATAGCCACGCAGTCCGTCTTCAGCGCGCACCTACATGAATCCGACATCGACACGCTACAGTATCGCTTCTATCGTCTCAAAGGATTGTATGACGAGGGTCAGTACCAATTGCTGTACCTCCTGCGGGAATCTCATTTCCCGAGCGGTGGTAATGACATACAGCGTCTGCTCGATCAATGGCCCAAGCGAGATTCTTTTGCGCCGCTTGATGCTGCGGGCATGCGGGTCGGCAAAGGTCTAACACAGCAAAGGGATCGGTGATATCGAAAAAGGTGATAGAAATACGTGGACTTCTGGGACCGGCCATGTCTGGCCCTTGCAAATGCAGTTGAGCTCTGTGGCGGCTGGCTTTAAGGGGCTTTAAAGGGGCTTTAAGGGGGTGAGCAAAGGGGTGAGCCGATACACCCACAAGGAAATGCTCCTTGTTAGGAGGTGTATGACCAGTTTATTCCCTAAGGATCCAAGGGCAGCGCCCTGCACACGGACAGTAGTTGTTTTGTCTTGCTACGCAAGGAGAGCTTGTCTTGTCTCAATATGGTAAAACCACTGTGAGCCAATGGGCAGCGGAATGTATATGTATGAGCATGCAGCCATTGCTGTAGGTACCTGTTAGAGCTACCCCTTTAGAGGTTTACGCAAACAAACAGACACTAATTTTCTTTTACCGGAAGCATGGCCGCACATTCACACATATACTATTATGCCCACTGTCACAGTTGCGGAGTTTGGACTCATGATAAAAACAGCATATTGTTTATGCTAGGTATAGCACTGAAGTACACTGTTGAAGTCACTCTTGAAATCACTCCTTTTGAACTCTTTCATGCACATTGGTCAGAGAGATCGTCTGTACAGGATCAGGTCTGGTAATGTTCTTCTATCGAATTATGCAGCCCTTCACTGTGCTCTTGTTAGAGCCTTGTGAGTCACTGTTGTGAAACTCTGAGATTTTCCTTATCTCAGATTTGGATCCAGGTTTGGATCATAGGCTCGAGCATAGACGTTCGGATGTGGTTCATCCGGGTCTGAGTGATCTTCTTCGGAACTTGAAAAGATTCCGAGTAATCTGTTCTCAGCCCTGGTGAAGGCGGCGTCTGCAGTGTCATATCCATGGTTGGATGTAGTCGCCTTTGGCTCGGCCTTTGGTGCAGCTTGTGAGCTGATTGGAGTTGCCTCGGCTTTAGCCGGTTGTGGCTGCTTAGCCTTTGCCCGTTCGGCCCTTCTTCTTTCAAGCTGTCCGTCTGAGGACGCCCATGATCTTTCACTTTCATCTCCTGAGGGAGATAAGGCGTGGGCATGAAGGCTGTTCCAGTACTGTGCTGCAGAAGGAGTTAGGACTTCTTCATGGTCAGATTCTGACTGGTCTTCCTCAGAGCTTTGGTCGTCAAAAAGTGTCTCAAGGACATTTTTGAGGTTTTTATGTCTTCGCTCTATCTCTAGTGAGGAATGGACCAATTGATTGAAGACTGTTTTTGAGTCCTTCAGTGCTGTTAGAAGGATTTCCACTCTGGATAGAGTATCTTGGATGGTGTCAAGATGATCCTTTCTTTCCTCCTTGTCTCTCTGGATAGAGTTTCGCAATGATTGTGCGATTCTGAGGAGGTCGAGATATTTCTCAATAGGCATAGTTACCGTATGATTGTCATGTATGACAGTTGTTTCGTCGCTGCTCAAGTTCCTGAATAGGACTTCCACGACTGGTAGAAACTCCGTGCTCCACGGTTCCTCTTCATCATATGTTTCTACGTGCTGTTGCACGCGTTGTGTAAACTGCTCGGCTGCTTCTACCGTTGCATCGATAGAGCTGACGTGTCTTACTGCCATGTTTCGGCACATAGTGTTAATGGCCTGGCCTTGATTGGCTTCGCCAAGTGCAGCGTCTGCATGGTTGCAGAGTCCACTGTTATGGGCTTCTCTAGCTGCTTTTCGTTGAATGCGCCGATTTTGACCTCCTCTTCTGGTAGGACCTTTTGGTCTCGGAGGATCTGAAGGTACTGTTCCTTTCGCCTTTGGCGGAGGAGTCTTAGGTGGAGGTGACATGTTTGCCTTGTTAGGCACTGGTGGCATTGCCTTGGGCACTGACGACGATGAGGCACTTGCGAGTGCAGATGTACCTCTGGCTCTTGCCGAGGATCCCTTAGGGATTGATGTATAGGTAATCTGCATGGCTTCTTCGGCCAT